TCGTATCCATAACGGACGTTCTCCATGTACAACATCTCCTTGATGGATATGCTCTCCCGCATCATACATGCAATACTGCAGAACGGCTCTGCCTACGCTCTGCCTACAGTAGAATATACCTTATGATAAGATTTACATCATTAATCTGCAACCAAATTGCATTTTTTAGGAATCGAACCTCATACTTAGTGTAGAAACCATTAACCATTGGTCAAGAAACTTTCACATTTTAAAGGTTTTAGGAGGAAAATAAAGCTAGTTAAACTTTGAACACGTTTAATAAACTATAAAGAAAACAACGGAGGAGACATAAAAATAGGGGAACTCTAGTTTCATTCTTTTAAATTGATAGTACGAGGAATATTTTTTCGATGAGCAATAATATGTAAACTATATGGCGAATTGCAAAAATACCCATATTTGATAGTATAACTAAAAATATATCATTACAATTCAAAGAATTAAGAAACTAGCATAAGGGATGGGTAGACATGTCAATTAGGACAAAAATCTGCTGGCCGGCCCAGCCCAGCCCAGAAAAATATCGGGCTCAGCCTTAAATATATGTGTCCAGATAAAAATCGGGTCTTCCGGCTAAGCCTGTTCGGGCCAACGGGTTTTTTGGTCTTAGCCCGACTAGGCTCGGACCGGGCCGGAAACCCCTTAAAAAGATACTTTGATTTTTTTTTGTGTTTTTTTTTTAACGTCTGGATTTATTATTTATTGAACCTTATGAGAACTGTTACATTGACGATTCTACCATAGACAATTTCTTCTAACCCTTATTAGATTCACGACAAACGACAATTTCTTCTCCATGCTCTTGACGGATACCTTTAATGATCCACGACCTGACGAGACTTCCCTATCTGCGTAGAATCACGGCGAACAGCTCTAATTATACATCGCTGAAGATCTCTTGTTTACATATTAGTTTAATTGAAAGATTTTTAAGGATTTATTTAGTTAAGAACCCTAACCCTAGTTTTAATGGTGGCGTACTATAAATCTAAAAGCAAAATTGGTTCTCAGGGGACGCTTTCATTAACCTTCGCCGTCTTTCAATACGTACGTACAATATCTTTAACAAATCATGTTAGTCAAATTATTTTTTTAATAATGCATGAAGATTATTCATTTGGAACAATGAACGATAATGTCTATGTGTACATGTATTGTATTAATTTTGCGTCACTAAAAACCACAAACACAGGTTTTTTTTTAGATCAAAAACGTTGATGTTATGCGGATGTTTTCTTTAAATTATTATCTACTTTTATGTTTATTTATATAACTATATGTGTACTTGAATATGCATTTTACTTTATGGAACAAGGCGTTCATACTAAGAAAAATAATCAAAATTTATAAATCTCAGATGTAGAAAGAGATTCTGTAGATTGTACTGAAGAACCACCGGGTGATAGCTGCTAAGATAGTTAATTTGCTGCTCGATTACCCTTGCTTCAACATTGTTAATCAGTTTTAATGGTCATTATCGTTGCTGCCAAAGATAATGTTGAATAAATCATAATTTGACTGAATCTTTATGCATATACAGTACATCCATTTTCGAAATTGGTCTATTGTCATCTTTTGGTTGTGAAGAAATTGAGTGTTTTTTTAGGTGAGGATTGTGATTTTTATATAGCTTATAAAGCTGATTTTTTTCCATTCTCATCGGATTTGCCATGAGTTTCACTACAGCTCACAATAGGCATGATCCGAAGAGCATGACTAATTAACATGTAAATGTAATATCAAATGGAAACATATTAAATAATAAGACTCATTGACCAAATTTGTTGACCATAATTATATGTTCATAAGTATAATATGGAAGGTTTATTATATGTGTTTGTGTATATAAACAAACTAACACACAAGACCAGAACAATAAGATCTCTCAGTAAATGACATAATATTAGAAGAAGAAGAAGAAAAAGGTAAATCGATTTATAAATATACAAAATCAAGTTATAGAGAATGTTGGAAATTTCTTATAAGAAAATACAACTATATATATCAAATAGTGAAGAAACAAAAAATTGAGAAATGCTTGAATATATTTACTACATATGTCCTATACATGAACTTTTACATTGATTTTGAATCTTTTTTTAATATAATTTATGATTTTTATTGTAGGATATTTACACAAAGAGCTGTTGCATCATCGGGACATAACTAATGACAACAAAGATCTTTTCACATGTTTTATTACATTTATTGATGATGTTTGCTCTCATCTTTTCTTCCATGGGTTCACCAGGTGACTTATTTATTAGTTGAATGATATATTATATCTTAAACTTTTGGACTTTTTAACTTGAAATTCTGTGAAACAAATTGAGATTTTTTAAAACTAGTTGAGTCAAAATCACTAAACACACAAAAAAAAAACAAAAACTCATTTTAAAAACATGTTAAAACATTAATTTGATTATTTTGTACTTCAAGTAATATTAATATGTTTATTATGAACCAAATAGGGAAATATTATGACTGTAAGCAAGACGGATGTATAACCACACCACCATGCTGGAGAAAATGCTTGTCTATGGGATATCCCAAAGGAGGGGAATGTCGAACATATAGTTATGGTGGTGTTTGTTGTTGTGAACTCAGTTCTAAGCCTCCTAACTAATTAATTCTTCATTATATATGTTACTCCGAATTCTATATTAATAAAATTAAATTCAAATATGTTTCTTGTTATACAAAGCCAACAAAAAAAAATTGTCTTTGGTTTTACCTAAATTAATGATGTTTCCTTTCATCTTTCTACCATCATTTCAGATAATTCATTAAATTATTTAACGCTACCTTTTCTCAAACATAAAAAAATATATATTTTCTCAAAATTCTCTCAATATTCATGAAAAAATAAGACATATAATTTTATTTAATTGTAAAATTTAAACCCCAAACCTCATCTATAAACCCAAGTCGACATAGAATTTTGTGTAATTGTAAAAACTAAACCCTAATCACTCTTTTATAAACCCAAACCGACATATAATTAATTTCGTTTAATTGTAAAATCTAAACCCTAATCAATATTTGTAAACCCAAACCAACATATAATTCTGTTCAATTGTAAATCTAAACCCTAATCACTTTTTTATAAACTCAAACCGACATATAATTTTGTTTAATTATAAAATCTAAACCCTAATTTAAATTTATAAACCCAAACCGATATATAATTTTGGGTGAATCCAAGAATTTTTCTTTAATGAATTTATTTATTTATTTATTTCGATGATATTAATTGTTTTAATTTGTTTAATTAGATGACATGGTAAATTCTAATTGGTTAATTAAGAAGCAGTGAATGAAAGAAGTTCACCCCCAAGAATTATTCAAAAAATAACTAGCAGTCTCGAGATACACAAAAGTAAATCACGTTTATGTCAGTAATTTAATGTTAAACTATTAACTTCATTAATTTTTAGACAAATATCTACCACGCTTCCTCCCCGAGCCACCATAAATACCCTCTCTCTAGTACCTTCTCCTTTGAACCAAAATTATTCCTTCTACTTCTAAGTTTCATGTATCTTACTATCTTTCACTTCTTAGCAAAAATAAGATTCTTAAATCTATAAACCTTAATATCGTAATTGAAATCTCCGATAATGACCTGAAGCCATCTTTTACTGAGAGATTTTAAAATGTCTAATTGTTTTCATCACTTTTCGATAATATTTTGAGACATCAAACCCACACCATTTTGTCTCCTCTTACTTCTCACTCAATCAAAAGTCTCTTGGTCCGCTCCCACCACCAAAGAACCACCGCAAGCCGGCCCTAACATATATAGGGTCATAAGCAAACAATATATTTGTTAGCCAATATATATTAATTTATCTTAAGAAAAACATGAATAATAAAAAAAATTACATTCTTAGGATTTCATGTAGATCACCTAAACTAAATTTTTTTATAACATAGGGTCATAATTGTTATTTCTCGGTATATATTTTATAAAAAAATAACTATTATCAACAATGAAAAACAAACTAACTATTATAGAGATTAGTGATAGAGTGGTCCCTCCTCAAAGCCAAAGAGATGTGTTTTGTTAACACAAGAACACACAAAGGAACCAAAGAGATAAACTCTGTTTTTGTCAATTTTCATGTCTAATATATTCTCATGACTTTGAAGTCTTTAAATGCACAAAGAAAGCAAAAGGATCTTTCACAAATCCTACAAACTAGGAAACATGGATAAATGGGAATGTGGAGATCATTTTCCTAAAACTTAGGAAGGCATGATCGTATCTTTTATCTATGAGACTTTGACCAAGTCTTCTCCGGTTTAATCTTGGTTATGAACCTATCAATTAGAAAATCATTAGAGAATAGAGATACAATCGGGACCAGTAAAATACGAAATACGAATTTTGAAAGATAATAAAAGAAAATCATAGTGGCCACGATTAGTTCGGACGTGTTTATATCTATCATCCAAGTTGCGAAATGGCTTGCAGGTAGGAACCAAACGGCTCATCTAAAGGAATTTTTGAGAAAGTACTAAAAACATATTAATTAGAAAATCATCACTCACATATAAAATAATGGCTTGTTTTAGTTTTTCTTACGTTGGCATTTGGCAATGGTTACAATGTTGAAACACTTAGTGAATTTTAATGTTTTGATGAGAGAGATGATGTTTGCATTCCAATGACAACTAAACTCTTGAAAACATTGTAACAACATATAATGAGGACATTATGTTTGTTTAACTGATCTGAACCGAACCGTGAAAGTACTAAAACACCATTCCGAAAAGTAAACTAATTCGGTTTCATTTTTTCTGATTCTTTAGAGATCCTTCATATGTTTTTCTATATCAAGTCGAAATCAAAACTGTATCAAACCAATCCGAGTAGTGTTTTGTTTCCATTCACCCTTATATTTCATAAACCGAAAACTTAATAAACCAAATAATCTGATACGAAAAACGGACTATGCGCCCCGCCCCCTAGCTTTCGTAAATTGTTGATTATATTACTCATTAGTCCGCTTTGTATAGTGAGAGCTTACCATTCAAAAGGGGACCTCAAGTGAGTCGTCCCATGCTTCAGCACTTCCATTAGAAGCATCTTCGACATCTTCTTCCATTGATAGCCTAATATATTCTCTATGAGCAAAACGATCCCACTCTGTCCATGTCGGATTTGCCCGCTCCTATGTATCAACAATCAATCATAGGGCAATGAATATCTCTATAAGTATATAGCTAGCTTAAAGGTATTTACTATATTGCGATACCTGACGAATGAGGAAGGGATCGCGAGTTTCAAACGCCATAAACTTGTTGAGGTTGAAAAGTATGTTAAAGACATTTCCCGAAAGTTTAGAACCCTTCAAATCATTTAGACAAATGAACCCTTCGTCCTCTGGTTTGACCATGTCGAATAATTGGCATAGAATATCCTCAAACAGCACAGCCTCTTGCGCCATGCATTCCATTCTATGCAGCTGCTCCTCGTAAAAGAATTGTAGCTCGTTCCGCGTCAAAACTCCATTTGCATCCAAATCTATGCACTTGAACCTATATCATCAAAAATTAATTACATTAGCTCTTACCAAATAACACATACACAAAGACTCTCTATATGAAAACATTCATCATTCTCACCAATACTCAAGACTAGGTTCTGATGACTTGTCTTCTTCAGCTAATATGAAGTAAACAAAATCCTCATAACCCATCTTTCCTTCGCTTTTACTAGTAAACTTCCTTGGTACCTATAAAAGTAGACATAGTGACAATGTCATTCCAACGGCAATCCTGTAGGTGAGTGCAGATGCGGTGTACCGAACCTGAGAAAAGATTCGGTCGACAATCCTGTAGGTGAGGGCATGATTACTATATCGGATGAGATTTTCTTTGTCGATCAAGAAATCATGATCTGTATCCAGCTCCCAGAACTTGCAGTATATGACATAGAAATGTTCATACGAGAAGTACCTAATAAACAGTAGAGAGTCTTAATAAAAAGGCGTCAATAAGCGCTAATATCGATATTACTAATTAATCTTAAGCCACCTACCTCAACACCTTATTGATGTCCTCTTCTTCATCGGCATGCTGCATTGCGTCAACTAAATTTCCTCGCTTAAGCTCTCTCAATGTAAGATGTCCATTCCCACTCCTATTTATGTAGTAATATATTCTGTATATTACAGTTTCAGCTGTTGCCAAAAGTTTTTCAAAAGCATTACAATGGATCATATACTCAACTATACATTCATCACACTTCCTTTTAGAATTTTTTCTATCTAATGTGAACATATGACACGAAACACATCTTAATTTTTCAGCAAAGTTAAAAAAAAAAAAGAACTAAAAGAAATTGGACTAACCATATCTATCCTGAAACTCAGGTGTTCCTTGCAAGAATTCAAGACCAGGGTGTGTTGCTAATAGTTCTTGGAGAACAGGCTTGAAATCATCCTGTCATAAGATTCATTCATATCTCAAGAAGTTAAGAATTCTACATACAAAAGGGAAGGAGATAACTAAATCATCTAATTATGTGGCCAAAGAAACAAAAGTGAAAATTAATGCAGCTTAAGAACCCCACCTGGACAAGGTACTTGTGATCTGGTTGCTTCAGTATTGTAAATATCTGACTTGTTATCTCCTTTGTCAACATATTTCCCTTAACCCAATAATCAATGAAGTCTTCTCTGCAAAGTAGTTGGCAAAACTATTATATATAACATGTGTTAAGTAGTTCATGGGTATTTATATTATGATCTATGAACTTATATACATTCTTAGCCCTTTGTCTTCAATACTCAAACTCTGTAGCTAAGCATGAACTGAAAAACGTAAGAAATTGGCGAACCTTTTGACAAAACCAGTGTTATTGGTATCAACTTTCTTGAAAATGGTGGTGGAAAAAAATGATGGAACCTTGCAGATCTCAGTAGTGACCAATTTAAATTCTGAGAAACAAATGACATGGTTAGTCACTAAATATGAGACATGAAGATATTTAAAAGAGCAACTAACCAACCTTGAAGTTGCAAACCATCCTCATGGCCATAAAAAAGACTGTTGATCTTAGCTATACACTGTTCTTTTAGATCATTTGGTGGTGGGCGACCATCTTCAAAGTAAAACTATACATTACATACATAATAGAATCAGTTTGGCACGACAAAAATGCCGAGAAGAGACTATATGATAATAAAATCGATGGTGGATCGAAATGTAGACCTGAGGAATGAGTTCTTTAACATGATCAGAAACTACTTTGAGAGGAGAACTAAGATTAGAAAGACCAGTCCTTTGTCTGGTGATCCGAGGCGAACCAGTTGAGTTCCTTGGAGAAAGAGGAGGCCCATTGCGTGCTGGAAACATCGAAGCCAATGGACTATTCGACCCTGAATTTGTACCCGAAGAGCCTCCTCCACACATAACATTCAGAGCCACTCCTGCCTTTGCATCATTTACCAAAGATGTGACCTGTAATCATTCATACCAATATTTCTTAGTTCCATATCCAAAAAAAAAAACCAAAATACTCTCCTACTGGTTTATACTAGTTTCGTCGTTATGTCACCATCCGGATTCAAAACCAGTATAGAACAATCATATATTTTCCACATTCGGGTTCAAATCCGCATATTTCTTGTTTTCAAATATATTATAGTAGTGATTTGTGCTAGTGCGGTAATTGTGTCACCATTCGAATATAAACCCGCAAATAAAAAAACTAATATTATCATCCAAGAAAAAATAAAAAGAAACATTTACCAAGCGATTGGTTTCTGGAAGAGCAAGCCATTGATCAAAGAGCTTCTTAACAAAATCTTGATTAGACTTCATCGACATTGGCGATGTCTCCGGCAACTGCAACAGCTCTATATCCAACGTTATCGACTCCATCGTTTGATCTTTCTTCCTTCAAAATTGTGATCAAATTCTCAAAAATCTTATTTCTTCAACAAGATTGCTTGATAGAAGAAAGTGAGATAGTATTTATTATACATGTATAGCAATGTTTGTATTGACTGTATAATATAAGAGAAAATGATTCAATTCAGAAAAAAAGAAAAGAAAAGGTATAATAGATCCGTGAGATGCTGGAGGAAAATTAGCTTTGAAAGTTGCAGAAATTTAAGGGTCGATGGAGAGAGAGGAAGAGGGTAACACACTCATTATTAATTAACGTTTTTTCTTCAGTCAAAGGTCAAAAACCTATAATTAGTAAAATGTTGAAAATTTTAACTTTACTAAAAATTGTTACTATTGACTTAGTTATTTGTAGGCTACTACTAATTAAACTAGTTGGCACGTTGAGCAACTAATACAAATCACAGCTGTTAACATTTGCAATGAAAACTTGAGTCTCCATGGCATTATTATTATAATATAATCAATATATTATAACTTTCTTTCTAAACTATTTCTAGCCTAAGCATCAATTTTATAGACATCATTATAATCAAACAACTTATCCATTTTATTATTTAAAAGCAATGCAGACGAGATTCTATGCATACCAAATATGGGATTATTGTCTAAAATGCCATTTTTTTGGAAAAACTTACGAAAATGCCATTTTTTGAATAGTTTACGGATTTTGCCCTTTTTTAACACTTAAAAATATACGTATTTATAATTTTTTTTGCAAAAATACGTACTTTATACCAAATACTAAACCCTAAGAACAAATGGAACCGACTAAACCCAAACATAACGAGTGAAACGCATGTTAAATCATATTTTTGGAGCTTGAAAATGGGCAAAATCCACAAACTATTCAAAAAAAGGGCAAAATCCACAAATGCCACTATAAAAAAGGGCAAAATCCGTAATTAATTCTACCAAACCAAATATTTTAGCATTTTTTGAATTTTTGGCGTGAGTAGTAAGAGAGGAAAAAAGAGACGCTAAATTAGGAGGAAATATTCAATAATAGGAAAATATTGTTTTTAGAGTAAAAGTTTTTTCTTTTTTTTTTTTGGTAGGCGAGTTATAGTTTTTTCTTTAATATAGAAGGAAATTTTCTTTAGATTTTTTCCTTTGTTTATCTTTTTATCTTTTTTGTCACGAGTGTGTTTTATTAATAAAAAAAGCCAAATGTGACATGTCAATATTTTACAAACCGTAAAGCAAGCAAAGCCCAATAAAAGAAACTATAAGCCCAAAAGCCCAAATAAAGGAACTCTAAACTGAAGGAAAAGTTTGTACACATCACATAAGACACGTGGCAATTGGGAAACAGGTTGGAAGATACGTGGGAAGTCGAAGAGGAGGGAGTCTCCGATCACCGGAATATTGTTGTGACGTCGGAAAGCTTCAATTCCGGCTGAAATCGCCGGAAAGCTTATTCATCTTCTTCGCCAAAGAAACAAACAAAAGCGAGATTCCAATTTTAGCTTGGATGAGAATATGACTTCACTCTGCAACTTCAATCCGATAATTGATTAAAAACCAATAAGGTATAAGAACGAAAAAAAGCCCCTTAAGCAAAGAACTACACACCCAGATCTAAAGAACTCACGTTTAATTTAGTTAATACTTCAAATATATTTATAGCTAAAGAATTTTCAGAATACTGTTTTCACATTAAAAATTTAATTTTACGGTTTTAGTGGGAAAACATGATTTTTCTGTTTTGGCAGAAAAACATGATTTTGCGGTTTTGGCAAAAAAAAAACAGTATTTTTCAGTTTTTGCGGGGAAAGAAGATTTGGGGGAAAGTATGATTTTGCGGTTTTAGCGAGAAAATATGATTTTGACGGAAAATTCAATTTTGTGGTTTTGGCGGAAAAATATGATTCTACAATTTTGGCGGAAAAAATGCGATTTTACGGTTTTGGAGAAAACACAATTCTTCGATTTTTTCGGTTTTGGCGGGAAAACATAATTCCACAATTTTCCGATTAAATCGTGATTTCTAGTTTTATTTTTTTTGGGAGAGGATACGATTTTATGGTTTTGGCGAAAAACGCAATTCTCCGATTTTTCAATTTTGGCGGAAAAACACAATTCCGTAATTTTTCCGCCAAAATCTTCATTTAAGGTTTGGTGAAAAACACAATTTGGCAAAAATATTTTGACGAAAAAAAACGAATTTTTAATTTTGGTAAAAAACGCAATTTTACTATTGTGACAGAGAAATGATAGTCTGTGATTTTACAATTTTTAGAAGATTTTTTTTGGTGCAAATATATGATTTTAAAAATATAAAATGAAAAATCTACAAAAAAAATTAACATTATTTGATATGTGATTGTAAATGGAGGTATTTTAAGCATTTCTTATTTTTCGAAGAATTATCTCCATCTGAATCTCTTACTAATAAAAGGAATAGTTTGAGGCCTCTCAAGCTATCCACCTCAGCAAAACAAAAAGCTTACAGGAGAAGCCACATCAGCAAATACAGAATTCACGTTTTCTCTCAATCATACTGCCACATCAGCTTAATTAATTTTCTTAGTGAAATGAATACGATTTACAGTGGCCAATTAGATAAAGTTTGTATTTTCTTTTTAATAAAATAAACAATTAGATAAGTTACGAGGTCAACGACTCGGCTTCCTCAGAATCTCGCTTTAATACGCAGTGACCCTCCGTTTTCTTCTTAAACAAAACCCTCCCAGGATCACCTCTTTATGCTGTAGGAGTAGAATTGACGATGCAAATCAAATTTCATTCATCATCGGAAGCGCAAGGAACCTGACGTTCGAGATTCTACAGGTAAGGCCCTCGCCTGTTTTCATGTTTACCAAATAGGCTTCGGATCCCTCAATTGAACATAGAATGGATCCAATGCCATCATTCCCAAAACCAACGATTTAAGAAATTCGGCCATCGAAAGGTTAGATCACAAACTTTGTCATTCTTCTTCTCCATCTTAACTCCCATGCACGCTTTTGAAATAGGCATCTGATCATTCTGTTGATCTCAGCTTCAATCAAGTAGCGTCACTCCAAATCTCGAAAACTCATCGACAAAATTAAATACCCTAGAAAAACTTGCCATAAGGAGAAAGAAAGGTTGGAAATATTATTATGAAAAGTACGAAGAAGAAGAAGAATCCAAGGAAAATGAAGGAAACACATTCACCAATTCATGAGGATTTAAGGGATAATAAGAGTATATAATGATGTAGTAGTATCTACAGACTTCCATAGTGACAACAGGTACTATATCTATAATCTATTGTAAACTGCTTCACATTGATTTAAACTTTTCTAATATATGGAGATTAAGAACCAATGAATATTATAATCCATTTAACTCCAAAGTTGGGACTGGAAAGAGCGGCATATTTGACTTATGTTTGGGCGATCTGAGTGTTCACGATGAAAAAGTGAGAAGATATGAGAAAGCTCCAGAGAGTAAGAGGTCAGATAACTTAATAAATGTGTGACTTTTTTATATAGTATGTTTTAGATTGACACGTTTGCTTTACACCAGTACAGAGAGGTGGACAACTGTGTGAATCTGGGAAAAATGTTACGACCACTAAATTTAGAGACATTTCAGCATTGGTAATGCAGATGAAAGCCGTTAAGGCAATTCACATGAGGCATTTAGATTTTTCTGATTATTATACATAGGTCACAGATATACATACACGTTCTTATATATCACAAAAGATTTTAATCATTGCAACTATGGAGATCAAGACTCGCCCCTCAATTAGAAAGATAAGGAAAATACCATTAGAGAGATGAATGTATTCTGAGGTTGATGGGTTTTAAATTTTACTATGTTTTCATAACACATAAGTACCTACTACCTATCCATACCCCTTAGGATCTAACAAGAGTCCACATGGAGTCCATAAGAGGAGCACGATCAGATTAAAACTTGGGACATACAATGTTCTCTCACACATACATTATTCGTGTTCAAGTTACGAATATTTGGTTCTATCATGTTCAAGAATAGTTAAATTGAGGAAAAATGCGTTAAACACATAGAAAATTGAGTTGCGAATATGTGATAGTTATAATTGGTTTTTTAAATGTGTTGTTGCCCTATTAGAGAGAACAGGAAAAAAAAAAAAAAAACAACAAGTAGAAAGATTGTTTAATTGTGAATGCATGTGTGATGCCAAAAACAATTTTAATTGATCATATTCATAACAACTGAAGATGACAAAAAAAAAGGAATAACTAACATAATTATTGGACCTATACGCAAGAATGCAGAATGTTCAACTGAAGATGACAGAATGTTCATATATACGCAATAATAATTAGAAATAAAAATGAATATATATATATATACTTTTTTGGCCAATATGTATATTCGAATATAAATTACAACAAAAACATTTGTTGATAGTTAAAATTTAACAATTAATAGTACCATTTAAGTTTTCTTTCTTAAAATGTTAAATAAATATCACATGATGTTTATAAAAAAAAATCAACAACTAATTTAGAAATTACAAGAAAAATGTGTATAAAAAATAAAAAGAGTTTAAACCTAAGTTAATTAATTCAAAAAAAATAAATATAAAATATATACCGGGCGTAGCCCGGATAACCCCTAGTACAATATTTAAATTCATTCAGATATATCATCTCTATCATGGATGAACAAACAAATAGCACATATAAATTAAGTCTAGTTATAATAATTTAAGTTGGGATATATGGGATCCATAATTCCACACAACAACTTTAATATACATTTCACATTAATTCTCAAACAGATAAAGATCAAACGAAAATAGAGCAGCTGATTTAGCAATCAAATTTAGAAGAATTAATCTGCAGAACATTAGACAACAAACAAACAAACAAAAACCTGGAACTTCAAACTTGTTCTTTCACTCTAAAACATGTTCTTCTCCTTGCAGTTGCTTCTCACCATTTTTCTTGTTTTCTCATTCACCAAAGTTAGTCAAAACGAAACTACAACTACTCGCCACTTCACTCCACAACACCAACACCATTCTCATCTGTCTCTCCATCATGACCACTCTTGTTTTTTCCCACAAACTTTCCATGCACTTCTTCAGATTTTGGTGTTTCCTTTGTGAACTTTCTCATATGATCTTTGCTGCTGCTACTTGGTGTCCTTGGGACACTGTTCGTTTTTGGTTCTTCCTTGCAACCACCTACACTGTGACGATGTCGAGCACAATGCTTCCCCTTCACCTCTTGATATGATGCGTTAACCGTGTCACTGCAGCTCTTTCTACGGTTAAGGTTTGGTGACTTAGGCCGAGTCAGTGGAAACTGCAATTCAAACAATCATAGAAAGTTAAAATCTCCGTTTTTATTCAGTTTATTTTGTGAGGATGAAGTTCATCTCAGTTCATATATCCATGTATCGCAACAAATAAGTTCTCGAGGAATTTGCAGGTTTCAGAACAGTCTAATCAATCTAAAAATGGAGAGGGTGACACAGAGTGAGTACACTACTTGAACTCATATAAACAAAATCCATCATCTGAATTCACAATTGTGGTAGTGACTAGTGAGTTACTGCCAAAATAATAATCAAAACAAAGCAAAAGTGACAGTAGACGTAGAGTAGGGTAAGCTGTTGGTGAGGAGGATAAAGCCATCTTACCCGATCACAAGAAAAGGAAACTAAATCTTGAATCATAATTCAATATTTTTTCAGTCTTGGGCAAGCAATAATATGAATCAAAGTGGAAGAAAAAACGGAAATGAAGACAGTGAGGTTCTGTTCCATACCTTTTTCAACGGTTGTTTCGGTGGAGGACCCTCTTGGTAGAAACTTGGTACCGGATTAGCTTTGTAAGCCATGTTCCTCCTGAGTTGCTTAGTGACTGCTTCTTGCTCTTCCTAAATAAATTACATATCCAAATATTTTTGAGAATGCTCAAGAATGGAAGATATACATTATGATGAATCTAAAGTGTAAGATTATTCGTTTCAAGAATTGTATGCATAACTTTTTATGTTGTCATAACTAACATTGCAACTATATAAAGAAGATATAATTTCAATGTATATAAAGAAGATATAATTTCAGTATACTGACTAATGCACGTGTATACATGAGGATATAATTTTACCTTGAGCCTTTTCTCGTTTTCTCTTTTCTCTGCCTCAAGTGCTTTCTGTTTCTCCTCTAATTTCTCGTAAAACTGAAACCAGAATATGCTGACAATTAGCAGAGTGACAGAGACATAGAGAAGGAACAATAAGTGCGACATCTCTAAGGAGAGAAACAGTGCAATGCCCTGCTTCCTTTAAACTTTTCCTTATTTGTTACCAAAAGAATTACCTCTCTCCGCCTCTCCAGCCGCGCTGTGCTACTAAATGTTGGAGCAACTCCAACCGTTATCTTGGGTTTAAAACTTCTTATGGATGTAGCCGATCTATATATAGCTAAGGATCATAAAATTCATGTAGTGTGGTTAAAATTAAAAACAAATGTTTCCTTTTTCATTTAGCTTGAGATAAAGGATACGAGGAAGCAACGGAAAAACTATCTTCTTCATCATGATGTTTCTTGTGATCTGGTGTCCTCCTAGCTGGTAGAGGAGAATTTAGCTGCACGCAAAAAAAAACGGAGGCAAAAAAACAAGTCAGTTAGTGCTTTGTGAGCAGCTAAAAATCCCATAAGAACTAAATCAAAGAAAACAAGAAGTGTGCCATAAGAATCATTCCTTAAAAACTTCACATTGCAAAAAAAAAAAAAGAAAACAAGTTAGCGCGTTATTTACCTGTGAAACTCTGGATGCTGAAGAAGAATAATGGCTAGCACCATTTCCTAATGAATTATTATCAACTACTGCTCTTCTAGGCTTTTCAGCCGACAGAGAAAACGGCTTTGGAACAGTTGTTTTCGCAGTAACACGAGTTTTAACTGAAGATGAGTTAAGTTTCTTCTCGTTATCAGCAATTTTATGGGATCCAGGTGTATCAATTATCTCTAGTTGCCTCATACGAGCATCATCCGGAACCAAGTTCTGCTCGGTGCATTCTTTCACCTCCGCAACTTCTATAGTTGACGGATTTCGGACTTTATTATCATCCGAAGATCCGGTTGAGCTAGCTGTCAAACTATTCGCCTTCTTATTCATGTGTTTGTCTACAAGTTCTCTCCCCATTACCACTAGAACAACAACAAAATTGTATACATACATAAATGCTCAAAGCCTTATATATATCCACAAAAATTCGACTTTAATTGCAGATTTAGCTAAAAGACCAACAAACAAACACATTGTGCAATTAAAAACTATCATAAATCATCAAAGGGAGAATCTACCGAACAAATCTTTGTATAAATTTTGCATTTAAGACAACAACAACAAGGAATATGAACAAGCAGAGATATTGAATTTATCAGAATCAACAAAACAAATACCCAAAAAAAAAAAAAAAAAAACAGAGAAAACATCATGGATTCTATGTCTGAAAGCGAAACAGCGAAACCTAATTGTCAATCTTCAGACAAGATTAAGAAACTGAGCTGCGCAAACAAGAACGACCAAAGAGATCGAAAATCAGACAACGTTGTACAGATCGAACCACATTTGTCGGTATTTTGTGAAAAAAAAAAACAGATAAACGAAGATTAAAGATTTCAAATTTCTTACGATTTCGCTAGCTCTGATTTCTCCTGGAACTCGTCAAATACATTCTCTCTCTTCAGCTCTCAGGGCAAATGCGAAAATCCCCTTTTTCACTTCTATCTCTCGAGAAATTTATTTTTCTTTTTCCTTAATACATTTCTTTTGTCAACATCTATTTACTTTTTGACGAATATACAAATACGTTTTTTTTTTTTTCGACGAATAGAATGTCAATATATATTCGCCTTTTTATTGGCGTGTCGCTTTATTTAGCTCTTTTTGACTTTTTGATATTTAAAGAAGGAAGAAAAAAACTAAACATTGTGAAAATGATATGAAAGCACTAATAGTTATCCAAAACTCTTTAGTTAAGAGTCTTTAATCTTAGAAGACTTGGAAGAGTTTTTTTTTTTTTTTTGGTAAAAGACTTGGAAGAGTTGACATGGGTCGATAGAAAACTACAGAACTACTATGATGGAAACTTGAACGAGACTAGCTAGTTTTGCATTTGTTGATGTTCTCTTCTCATAATCAGATTTTCTTTCTTTAAGAGGTCTACTACATATTTTTACGATCAATGGAAATGATTTACAAAATTGTCCATATAACTAAAAATTAATCAAGTTCAAGTGATTTACAATCATTCACAATTAGTGTTGTTGGGATAATTTAATGGTCCAAATTCGATAATATTTATTTTAGAGATCAAAATATTTAATAAAGGTAAAATATTAAATATTAATGGTTTTCAAACATATTTTCACTATTTGTGGTTTTAAGTTTTTTCAGATTATTTGGAGAAAAGACTTAAAACGAAGCAAATCAAGAATTTTCGAAATCACGACAGCTTTTGTATCTAAGAAAATCAACAAATTGGAAGACTTCCTTATCACCAAATTGGAAGAGTTTGATGTAATTGGAAACCTTGAAGAGTTAGCTTTCATCTCCAGGTGATGAGTCCTAATAACCAGTCAAGAATCAATCTTGCGAGCAAATGAAGAAACTGCAGGAAATGAAGCAGAGCCTCACCAATCTCATTGAGAGAACGACCGAATATGGATCGATCCTGCCTCCCAAACGAAAAAGATAAGATTCTCTAGAATATTTTGATTCATTTCGATCTATTTAGGATTTTTAATTTTATCCATTTCTACAGCCTATATAAGGAAGTGCACGATCCATGCAACAATACACTTGCATTCATCATTATTTCTTGCATTCATGTACTCGTCTCTTTACGCTTATCACTTTGTCTTTATTATTTTGGGGAAGAATCTCATCCTTTTGTGATAGGAAAAAAGTAATCTAGACCCTTTTACTTACATCATCTATTCATCGTGTTCTGTTCATCATCATCTTTGTGCTTACCTTAGTCATGTCTTTGAAATTTCAATGCTTGGTTAAAGGATTTCATCGAAGTGGATTTTATGGATCATTTAATTTAGTTGGCGATTTCTAGGGCTTAATATCATTTACATTTTCTTTGTCTTTGTTTATTAATAATGAATATGACTGAAGTCATGAATCAATTGTTGATCTTAAGAATTAAATTAACCATCAAAAGTGTTGTTATGTTTTTGGAGCTAGTATTTGGTAAGCTTCGTGTCTAAACTACAAACATTGAGCTAAGGAGTTTAGTAAGATTATGAAACTGGAAAATCAAGTGTTCTGATTAGTTTTATTTCTTGTGCGAGTTGATTGATTAAGGTGCTAGAAATAACCGTTTTTAAGTTTCTAAAAGTAGGTTAAACATTCATTCGAGATTTCTTCCTTAGTTATCGTTTGAATAAACTCGATTTATTAGCCCTGAATATTCCTTTATGTCGAACGTTTCTTCCTCAAAGGGGTTGTTTATTCGGTTTCAACTCGTCCTATTGATGGGACTTCATGAAAATCCTCTAGGTCAAACCCTTCATGTTCTCCGGACGATCATTTTGAGGCTAGTAAGTTTTTAATATTACTACAATCCTTTGTTGCATGCCCGATTATTTTGTGGATCTCACAATATGCGTTCTCATCTCGAACCCACTTGTTCGAAGGGAATGCTCTATTTTTTCCTTTCTCGGGAGACGGTTTTCCTACTTGTGGCTTTTCGGGTAAGGATTTTGTACACTTGTGGGTTGTTTCCTAAATTCTTTTGGTTTGGGTTTCTTTGTAGGACTTTCCACATTCAACTTTGCTTGTCAAATTCTTTTAGAGAGTTGCAACTTGTCTTCTTCAGCCTCCATCCTGTTTGTGGCTCGGTCCAAGGCGTCTTGGTTAGTAGTCGACTTGTTGACTATAAGTTCCTCTCAGAACGAGGATTCATGCCATATGATGTTCTTCAATGCCACTGAGTGCGATACACTGGTGATCTTCACTAGGACTTCTTTGAAACTAGTGATGAACTTTCTCAAAGACATCTTTTTTCCCTTAGTAACCTTCCAAAGATCCACGTCTGAAGTTCCTTTTTTCATGAACATGAATATTGCTTCAGGAAGCGCCTGATAACTTGTTGAAGCTATCAATTGAGCCTGATGCAACTGAGTAATCCAGAGTAGGGAAAATCCGGAGAGATTCTCGGCAAAAAGTTTGCCAAGACCAGCGTCTTTTTTTTTGCTCTTCCAGCTTCACTCTTCCTAATGCAATCTAAATGACTGTGATGCGGTTTTTTTTATCGCCTTTTCCTTCGTAGGTGGAAAGTTTATCCATCGGGGAACGCGTATTTTGCAAGTGCTTATCCTTGAAGTGAAAGGAGTTCGCCTAGTCTACTCGATTACCCTATTCAGGGCCGAACTCATAGCTTGGTTGACATTCAAACTCAGCTCTCGGACTTCCCGATGTAGTGACTGCACTTTAGGGGGGGGAAGAGGAGTCATTCCGTGCTGTCTACTATGGAATTATGCACATCCCTTTCTCCATCTGTTTACCATGTGACTGCATCCAGCGACGAGCTTTGCTTTGTCCAGCTGGTATTCTGCCAGCAATGGTGATTATTCGGAGTTAACTCCGGCTCTGAGAATTATTGCTGGTGGAGAGGTCTGTCCACGAGTATCTCTAGGAAGCTTGATGCACGAGAGTTGTGTATCCTCTGTGCTCCAACGTTCTAGATTCAATTGGTTTTGGGTGTCTCGTTGCTCATTACCTACACTGTAGTAGTCCGAAAGAATGTTATTGTGAGTTTCCAGAGGAGTTACATGCGTAGTGACGCTTAGTTCCAGGCTTTCCCGTCGTGCCATGACCAATTCAATCTACTTTTGCTGTCTATCGTTAGTCTCCCTCCGCTCCCGAAGGGCTGGTGCGAATTCATTGTTGTGTTGCTCTAAAATACTGTCGTCTGACATGGTGATCGCTGATTCCGAACGTTTGACTGGTTTGAAGGCTTAGTGTCCCCATAGGCGGCGCTAAATTTAGATGTCGGAACCGGAGAATTAAAAATATACATAATGTGGGGTTTAAATCTTTAATAGCCAAAAATTGGAATAAAAAGTTCAAAAAATAGTACGCTTAAAAGTCTCTTATTATTATTCTTTTATTGAAAGAAGTTCTTCCTGTATATTGGTTTTCTTCTCTATTTATCCATGAATTTCATGATTACAAATAACAAATGAGCAATAATTATATTAATTGTCTTGATTACCCACTTATTCGTCGTCGGTTTTTGATTAGGCTCTTTAATTCTCATAACGCCTTGGTTTGAATTTCGAGGGGGCCATGATGGGCTTATTTTGTTCTATCTCCTTTGGGACGCTTACTTGATCTTTTCTTAGTTTTGGTCCGTGATCGGATTTTTTTTTTCATTCTTCTTGCCCGAGCCGGAGCTTTTAGTTTTGCTGATGTGGCTGACTTTGTGGCTCCTACCTCGATGACATATGAATATTTCCCAGGTCACTGATCCTCGTTTCGATATCCAATATCAACAATAATTAAATGTTAGAACGATTTATAAAATAAACGAAAAACTGCAATAGTTCGCCAAATTAACCAAATGTTACAATTGTTCAACTAAACGGTTGCAACAATTTATTTAAATTTATTTTAATAATTCAAAATTAAATATGAAGTAACGATAAAAAGACATAATATAATATACATTTTCATATGTTTTTGTGTTTTTGGTAAAATAATATTTGACTAGGTTGGATCTTTCATGTTAGGGAAAAAACCGCCATCTATTTTTTATTTGGCCGTTTAATACACGTAGTTTTAAAATCGGAATAAAAATACCTTTTTTAATTGTTGTTGTCTTTTATATTCCTTGTTTTTTAAATTTTAGTAGATTCATACCTCCGCGTTAACGGCGGTTAACGATGGTAACGGAACGGTTAACTACAGTTAAAATTTAACTCATGCTTTTTACGTATATATATACATTCTCTTTTCAAAACTATACAAATATATTATCGTAGTCAGGTGGTTAAAGACGGGTAGTATGCCCTTCCAAAAATGAGTTCGAATCCCATCATCATCAATTTTAGACGTTTTTAAAGAGAAGCTGTGCGCCACCATTCAGAGACGGTGGGAGAAGGTGCTTCGCATTGGAGATTGAATATAGAAAATCTCGGATTAGGATCTTCCAATCTTCACAATTGAGAAATCAGTAGATCTAGGGTTTACAGTGGAAGAGAACAAAGCGTTCTGAAGAAAAAGATAAAAAACAAAAAAAAAATGTCTAAAACAAAGGGAGGCGAGACTCGAACTCAGGGTCGATAGAACATTCAACCCACGCGTTTAACAACTGGACTAAAACATTTATTATTACAGCTGTGAAAATAGATATTATATATATAAGTAAACACCATGAGTTGAGTTTTAACTGCGGTTAACGGTTCCGTTACCATCGTTAACAGCCGTTAACGCGGAGGTATGAATCTACCAAAATTTAAAAAACAAAGAATTTAAAAGACAACAACAATTGGGGATGTGCCTTTAGTCAAGTGGTTAAGTCCATCTGACTCCGCCTTCCCCACCGGAGTTCGACTCCACTAAGTCGCGTTAGCCCGCGTAGTAAGGATTGGCTATAGATCGGGCCTTGTCGATCCAAAGATGTCAAAAAATAAGAAAGACAACAACAATTAAAAAATGTATTTTTATTCCAATTTTAAAACTA